GGGAGGTGTTTTGAGTGGGAGGTGAGAGAGAGGTGTTGTGAGTGGGAGGTGAGGAGAGAGGTGTTGTGGTGGGAGGTGAGAGAGAGGTGGTTGTGAGTGGGAGGTGTGGGGGAGTTGTGAGTGGGAGGTGCTGTGAGTGGGAGGTGAGAGAGGGGGTGTTGTGAGTGGGAGGTGAGGGGAGAGGTGCTGTGAGTGGGGAGGTGAGGGGAGAGGTGCTGTGAGTGGGGGGTGAGAGAGAGGTGTTGTGAGTGGGAGGTGAGAGAAAAGGTGTTGTGAGTGGGAGGTGAGAGAGTGCTGTGGGGGGGTAGTGGGAGGTGCTGTGAGTGGGGGAAGGTGAGAGAGGTGTTGTGAGTGGGAGGTGAGTGGGAGGTGCTGTGTGGAAAAGGTGAGTGGGAGGTGCTGTGAGTGGGGGGGTGAGAGAGAGGTGTTGTGAGTGGGAGGTGAGAGAGGGTGTTGTGAGGGGGTGCTGAGTGGGAGGTGAGTGGAGTTTGTGAGTGGGAGGTGGGGTGGGAGGTGCTGTGAGTGGGAGGTGAGAGAGAGGTGCTGTGGGGGAGGTGAGAGAGAGGTGTTGTGAGTGGGAGGTGAGAGAGGGGTGTTGTGAGTGGGAGGTGAGAGGAGTGTTGTGAGTAGGGATAGGGGAGGGGGCTGTGAGGTGGAGGTGAGTGGGAGGTGTGTGAGTGGGAGGTGAGAGAGAGGTGTGTGGTGGGAGTGAGAGAGAGGTGCTGTGAGTGGGGGGTAGAGAGAGAGTGTGAGGGGGGGTGAGAGAGAGGTGTAAGTGGGACTAGGAGACGGGGGCTGAGAGGTGAGAGAGAGGTGTAAGTGGGACTAAGAGAGGGGGGACTGAGAGGGGAGAGAGGTGTAAGTGGGACTAAGAAAAGGGAGCTGTGAGTTGGGCTGAGAGGTGAGAGAGAGGTATAAGTGGGACTAAGAGAGGGAGGCTGAGAGAGAGGTGTAAGTGGGACTAAGAAAGTGGAGCTGTGAGTTGGGCTGAGAGGTGTAAGTGGGACTAGGAGACGGGGGCTGAGAGGTGAGAGAAAGGTGTAAGTGGGACTAAGAGACGGGGGCTGAGAGAGAGGAGCTGTGTGTTACTGAAAAATGTCTGAGTTGTGTAAGTTATGTCTGTCTCTTGTTAATCTCTGGTGGAGTGGTCAGCTGACCTCTCCTTGAGGAAACAGGGAGAGAGAAGAAAGGATAAAGGAATTCCCTGAGGTAGGTATAATCTCGAGGAAAGGAGAAAGGAATTGTTAACAAAAACACATTAATAATTCCTTCTGCCATTTGTTCATTTGCACAAAGATAATTTTTTGAGCTTTTTCTCTCTCTCTCTCTCTCTTTCTGCTTTTCTTTCACGCTCTATGTTACCGTCTTTATATTCCCTCATTGTTACGTGAACATACTGGTTGTTTAATGTTTACAGGAGAGTGATTAGGTAGACAACCTCTTATTCTTGTTGTTTATCTTACTTTCTTGACCCTGAGAGAGAGAGAGAGAGAGAGAGAGAGAGAGAGAGAGAGAGAGAGAGAGAGAGAGAGAGAGAGAGAGAGAGAGAGAGAGAGAGAGAGAGAGAGAGAGAGAGAATGTGTGTAGGGTTTCAAGGACACCACAACCATCGTCAGTAATCATTCATTCCTAGAATGATTCAAGTCTGGTAGAGCGTCTACACACTTGTGGAGTTGTGCACTGAGTATAGAGCTCTGTGTAGAGCTCTCCACTCAGCTCCATATAGAGCACTGTGTAGTCTTAATGACGCAAGTCTGGAAGTAATGATACACCAGTGTAGCTCCATGTTATTGACGACCTAACAGGCTTATGGCGATACCACCACTACCACTACTACCACCACCATTACTACCACCAGTACCACCACTAGCACTGAGGGTCGTGGGATCAACACATTAAACAAGAACTAAGACCCCTTTTGACCCAGTGTTTAAAGCCCGAGTGTCCCTCTCACTGGCATTGAAAGTAACAATGATTATGTGAAGGAGAGGAAGGGGAAGAGGAGGAGGAGGAGGAAGAGGAGGTCAGAGAGGAAGATGGAGGCCTTGAAAAGGTGTATTCTTCCTTAGCAGTTTCTCCACACCATTATTGCTAGGGGCTCACAGCATGGCGTGTCTCTCAGATGATGGATCAAGCCTCCACTACAGCTGTATGACGTACACGGACGGTGGATCAAGCCTCCACTACAGCTGTATGACGTACACGGACGGTGGATGAAGCCTCCACTACAGCTGTATGACGTACACGGATTGTGGATCAAGCCTCCACTACTCCTGTATGACATACACGGACGGTGGATCAAGTTTAGGTCCCTCCTGGACCATAATTAAGTCCTGGCTAACTTCTGCAACCTGCCTTAACTAACCTTCCATACCTCTCTACCAACTACTGAAGCTTGTTTCTGAATCTGTTGATAAACCTGGTGCAACAAGGCTTAATCAATGGAAGGAAGAAAATACGAGAGGGGTGTTTGGAGTCTGTCTGGATCACCACCTTCGATACCATGCGCCAGAACCAGGGCAGCTTCCAGCTAACCTCGGGAACACTGCTTACTCCACTGAAATATGGGTTAGAGTAACATAACATAAGGAATCAGATTTTTGTATCATTATATTTTCTCGTGTTTATACATGGGTGTACATGGGAAAGACAGACAGCAGATGTTTTGGAAGTCCATACCAAGGCTATCTGCTGAGACGAGCTATCTACTGTCTAGAATCTAGACAGTAGATAGCTCTTCTCTGCAGATATTTTTTAATCTAGACTCTAGATTAAGAAGAATCTTGTTTTATCTAGGAGTGTGTTTATTATTATTAAAGATTAGCCGGTATTCTCCCGGCCCGGGCCTTTTCCAAGTGGTGGCCCGGCCTTGGCTCCCTCTCTTGGGAGTGTCTGAGACCTAAGTCTCCCATGGGAGGAGGCACAAGTACCTCCTCATCTTTGCGACCAACTGTCCCCAGGCCTAGCCACAAGCTAGGCCTCTCTGGTCTGACATCCCCGCCCCAAGGGGCCTAGTGGGAATGAGAGTCTTGTGAACTGCAAGCTCTGGCTCAGGCACCTACCCTACCCTAGAAGGGCTGGGCACGATCTAGGAGTGTGTCTCACTGAGACATTAAAGGTTTTAAAGAAAATTAGCTTCATTTATTGACATGAGAGGGAAAGGTGTTAGAATCTAAGCGTAGCTAGGTTAGTTGCTTCCTAATCTTGCCTATTCCGCTTTAGCTAGGCTATTCTCTTCCTCTTTCCCCTCCTCGTCGTGTAAGGTGCCGTGTTTACATTAAGTATTAACTCCTTCCTGCAGTTGCTACCCGCCCCCTGCCTTTCCTCAGGACAAAATAATGAACTAACTACCTTGCTTACCTTGACTCACGCTTCTTCACTTGCGCATCCACACCCTCATTTACTTTCAAGTTTTCATTTCAATCCTTGGCTGCGGCTGTGACTTCTACCAATCCGTTCTTCAAGGAATTTTTAAAAACCGACTTAACTTAAAATTGCGATTGCTAGAACATACGGTGAGCCAATAAATTAATGCAATGGTAAATGTTGTATGGATAAATGAAAGAGGATAATGTATTTTAGTGGGAAGAGGAAACGTAAACAGAGTTGGTTTCGGATGCGTTGCCGGCCTCTGTCCAGGAGATAGGCGCCATCTTTACCCCTTTTTGGGAAAGTATATAAGAAGGTCCAAAAGATTTTCTTATCATTATTGTCTCAACACCACCACAGGTAAGACCTATTCTACGTGTTTTCCCTGAGTTCTGACCTTAACTATGTGGTTTACCTGTGTTCTGACCTTAACTATGTGGTTTACCTGTGTTCTGACCTTAACTGTGGTTTACCTGTGTTCTGACCTTAACTGTGGTTTACCTGTGTTCTGACCTTAACGTGGTTTACCTGTGTCTGACCTTCACACAAATACTTATCTCGTGTCCTGACCTTCCCATAAACACTTACCTTGTGTCCTGACCTTCCCACATGCACTTACCTTGTGTCCTGACCTTTCCACACGCACTTACCTCGTGCCCTGACCTTCTCACAAGTACTTACCTTGTGTACTAATCTTGTGTCCCTTAAAGTCTGTGGCTCTAGGTAGAGCTTGAACAAGTTAATACAAGGAGCGAGAAAAAGCTCTTAGATATAGACCTCCGTGAGATCACAGAAGGAGCTGTGAACACAAGAGGTGTGACTGATGACCCTCGTGTAGACTATAAGCTTTAAACCCCATTAACCAACTAGCCAACCAGAGTTATCCTTGCCTATGTCAGGAAATGTAACCTAAGTCATCAGATAACCTATCCAGATATAGAGATTCATGGTGCAGGATAGTGAATTATGGAAGCCATGGTGAAGAGATTCATGGTGCAGGATGGTGAATTATGGAAGCCATGGTGAAGAGATTCATGGTGCAGGATAGTGAGTTATGGAAGCCATGGTGAAGAGATTCATGGTGCAGGATGGTGAGTTATGGAAGCCATGGTGAAAGATTCATGGTAGAACCAGGAGTGAGTTATGGAAGCCTGTAGAATCAGCTTGGTGCAGGATGGTTGAGTTATGGAAGCCATGGTGAAGGATTATGTGCAGGCATGGTGAGTTATGGAAGCCACTGGTGAAAGATGATTCATGTGCAGGATTGTGTAGTTATGGAAGCCATGGTGAAGATTCTGGTGCAGGATAGTGATTTTATTGGATAAGCCATGTGAAGAGATTCGGTCTTCAAAAATGCATGTTACAGTGTGTAATCTTTTGCCTATGGCGCAGCAGGTTTTTTCAGTCGAAGAAGTGGGTAAATAAACCTAATTGCAGTATTTGGACTTAAAACTCCTGCTGTCCAGGGCTTGGGCATGCCAGGTTTCTCGAATAAGATTCACCCAAATGTTGGCCATGTTGTACAGTATCCTACGCTATGAAAATTGACCATGTGCAACAATCTGGGTATTTATTGTAGACGTTTCGCCCTCCAGTGGCTTTATCAGTTCATATTTGTATTGATAAAGCCACTGGATGTGAAACGTCTACAATAAAGCTACCCAGATGTTGCAGGTGTGTCTAATTCTTTATACCCAAGTGGTGTACATGTGTTTTATTCATCACTGTATACATTTGATATACCTTTGATGAATTCCGAGAGCTTTTTCCTACTTCCGGAGCCCGGCCATGGGCCAGGCTCGTCTGGTGCTAGCTTGGTCAACCAGGCTGTTGGTGGCCCGCTGACCCACATATCCATCACAGCCTTGAAGGTATTGTGTACCATCAGTAATATTAATCGTTGTTACGTTCCTCAGACATCATCATGAAGGTCGTGGCTGTTGCTGTGTTGTGTCTCGCTGTGGTCGTCTCCGCAAGGATGCCTTACGAACTGCCCATCGGATACCTGGAGATCCTAGGCCGGGAGCCGGCAAGGGTTTTCGACTGTGCTAACCGACCCTATGGTTTCTACGCTGATGTGGCCAACGACTGTAAGATTTTCCACGTGTGTGATCCGGTGTATGACGAGAATGGACTGGAAGTGTTGAAAGTAGACCAATTCTCCTTCTTATGTGGTAACCAGACAGTGTTCAGTCAGGATTACCTCACTTGTACGTACCCTGAGGAGGCGTATCCCTGTGACCAGGCTGAGGCACTGTACACCTCTTCCAACGCTAACTTCGGCAAGATCCCCGAAGAACCCTAGAGAGCAATCATTCTTGATTGTATCATCCGTCCAGAACGTCATTTCTAGTTCTGTGTATGATTGAGTATCCCAGGTGTGTGAGTCCTTCCAGCTGTACATTTAAGTATCCCAGGTGTGTCTGATTACTGGAGATATCTGAGTATACCAAGCCAGTGTCTGAGTACCCCAAGTGAGAAAGATATCTTTCCCATCTCCTCGCACACTGAGAGTCCCTCTTTCTCACTGACTTTGATCACCATCTTAACCTATAATTTTTTCCCACTTGCTTCCGGCAGCTCCTTTAATATCCAGTGCTGGGCTTACCCATACGGGCTTAGAGCCTCTATCTGGATAATTAGTTATCTTCCCTCTTGTCTCTCATCTTGCTGCCTCCTCCAGGTAATGTTTCTCATTGTTATTCCTTATGATTCTCTCTCTTGTTACCTCAATATTTCTCATCTTTCTCACTTCCATTTTATAGTGTGTCTCAGTCTTCCTCATTCGTATCGTCTCGTGTTTCTCATTGCTTTATCAATAATAAAGTCTGAAACAAACGTGTGGTAATCATTGTTAACATTGAGACTTGTTAGTATTAACATACAGATGTTTTAGTCAGTGTTAACGTAGACTAACTGGTCACTGGTTGAGTGGGGGGTTATTTGACCCCCACTCAACCAGTGACCCCCACTCAATCAGTGATCCCCACTCAACGAGTGACCCCCACTCAATCAGTGACAGCGACTCAATCAGTGACCCCCACTCAACCAGTGACCCACACCCAACCAGTGACCCCCACTCAATCAGTGACCCCCACTCAACCAGTGACCCCCAATCAATCAGTGATCCCCACTCAACGAGTGACCCCCACTCAATCAGTGACAGCGACTCAATCAGTGACCCCACTCAACCAGTGACCCACACCCAACCAGTGACCCCCACTCAATCAGTGACCCACACTCAACCAGTGACCCCCACTCAATCAGTGACCCCCACTCAACCAGTGATCCCCACTCAACCAGTGACCCCCACTCAACCAGTGATCTCCACTCAACCAGTGATCCCCACTCAACAGTGACCCCCACTCAACCAGTGACCCCCACTCAACCAGTGACCCCCACTCAACCAGTGACCCCCACTCAACAAGTGACCCACACCCAACCAGTGACCCCCACTCAATCAGTGACCCACACTCAACCAGTGACCCCCACTCAACCAGTGACCCTCACTCAACCAGTGACCCCCACTCAAATCAGTGACCCCCCACTCAATCAGTGGCCCCCACTCAACCAGTGACCCCCACTCAAACCAGTGACCCCCACTCAACCAGTGGTCCCCACTCAACCAGTGGCCCCCACTCAACCAGTGATCCCCACTCAACCAGTGACCCCCCACTCAACCAGTGACCCCCACTCAATCAGTGACCCCCACTCAACCAGTGACCCCCACTCAACCAGTGACCCCCACTCAACCAGTGACCCCACTCAACCAGTGACCCCCACTCATCCAGTGACCCCCACTCAACCAGTGACCCCCACTCAACCAGTGACCCCCACTCAATCAGTGACCCACACTCAACCAGTGACCCCCACTCAACCAGTGACCCCCACTCAACCAGTGACCCCACTCAACCAGTGACCCCCACTCAACCAGTGACCCCCACTCATCCAGTGACCCCCACTCAACCAGTGACCCCCACTCAACCAGTGACCCCCACTCAATCAGTGACCCACACTCAACCAGTGACCCCACTCAACCAGTGACCCCCACTCAACCAGTGACCCCCACTCAACCAGTGACCCCCACTCAACCAGTGATCCCCACTCAACCAGTGATCCCCACTCAACCAGTGATCCCCACTCAACCAGTGATCCCCACTCAACCAGTGGCCCCCACTCAACCAGTGACCCCCACTCAACAGTGACCCCACTCAATCAGTGACCCCACTCAATCAGTGACCCCCACTCAATCAGTGACCCGCGACTCAATCAGTGACCCCCACTCAACCAGTGGCCCCACTCAACCAGTGACTCCCACTCAACCAGTGACCCCCACTCAACAGTGACCCCCAATCAACCAGTGACCCCCACTCAATCAGTGACCCACACTCAACCAGTGACCCCCACTCAACCAGTGACCACCCATCAACCATGACCCCCACTCAACCAGTGACCCCCACTCAACAGTGACCCCCACTCAACCAGTGATCACCACTCAACCAGTGACCCCCACTCAACCAGTGATCCCCACTCAACAGTGACCCCCACTCAAACCAGTGACCCCACACAACCAGTGATCCCACTCATACCAGTGACCCCCACTCAACCAGTGATCCCCACTCAACCAGTGACCCCCACTCAACCAGTGATCCCCACTCAACCAGTGACCCCCACTCAACAGTGATCCAGACTCAACAGTGACCCCCACTCAACCAGTGACCCCCACTCAACCAGTGATCCAGACTCAACCAGTGACCCCCACTCAACCAGTGATCCCCACTCAACCAGCTTTCACTGGAACGACGTTTCGCTATGTAGAGCTTGTTCAAGCTTTACGACTTCATAAAGCTCTACACAAAGTGAAACATGATAAAGCTCTACACAAAGTGAAACATGATAAAGCTCTACAGAGTGAAACATGATAAAGCTCTACACAAAGTGAATCATGATAAAGCTCTACACAAAGTGAAACATGATAAAGCTCTACACAAAGTGAAACATGATAAAGCTCTACAGAGTGAAACATGATAAATCTCTACACAAAGTGAAACATGATAAAGCTCTACACAGAGTGAAACATGATAAAGCTCTACACAGAGTGAAACATAACATGATAAAGCTCTACATAGAGTGAAACATGATAAAGCTGTACACAGAATGAAACATGATAAAGCTCTACACAGAGTGAAACATGATAAAGCTCTACACAGAGTGAAACATAACATGATAAAGCTCTACATAGAGTGAAACATGATAAAGCTGTACACAGAATGAAACATGATAAAGCTCTACACAGAGTGAAACATGATACAGCTCTACACAGAGTGAAACACGATAAAGCTCTACACAGAGTGAAACATGATAAAGCTCTACACAGAGTGAAGCATGATACAGCTCTGCACAGAGTGAACATGACTTGATAAAGCTCTACACAGAGTGAAACATGATAAAGCTCTACACAGAGTGAAACATGATACAGCTCTACACAGAGTGAAACATGATACAGCTCTACACAGAGTGAAACATGATAAAGCTCTACACAGAGTGAAACATGATAAAGCTCTACAGAGTGGAACATAACATGATAAAGCTCTACTCAGAGTGAAACATGACACAGCTCTACACAGAGTAAAACATGATAAAGCTCTACACAGAGTGAAACATGATACAGCTCTACACAGAGTGAAACATGATAAAGCTCTACAGAGTGAAACATAACATGATAAAGCTCTACATAGAGTGAAACATGATAAAGCTCTACACAGAGTGAAACATGATAAAGCTCTACACAGAGTGAAACATAATAAAGCTCTACACAGAGTGAAACATAACATGATAAAGCTCTACATAGAGTGAAACATGATAAAGCTCTACACAGAGTGAAACATGATAAAGCTCTACACAGAGTGAAACATAATAAAGCTCTACACAGAGTGAAACATGATAAAGCTCTACACAGAGTGAAACATGATACAGCTCTACACAGAGTGACACATGATACCGCTCTACACAGAGTGAAACATGATAAAGCTCTACACAGAGTGAAACATGATAAAGCTCTACAAAGAGTGAAACATGATAAAGCTCTACACAGAGTGAAACATGATAAAGCTCTACACAGTGAAACATGATACAGCTCTACACAGAGTGAAACATGATACAGCTCTACAAAGAGTGATACATGATAAAGCTCTACAGAGTGAAACATGATACAGCTTTACAAAGAGTGAAACATGATAAAGCTCTACAGAGTGAAACATGATAAAGCTCTACACAGAGTGAAACATAACATGATAAAGCTCTACACAGAGTGAAACATGATAAAGATCTACAGAGTGAAACATAACATGATAAAGCTCTACACAGAGTGAAACATAACATGATAAAGCTCTACACAGAGTGAAACATGATAAAGCTCTACAGAGTTAAACATAACATGATAAAGCTCTACAGAGTGAAACATAACATGATACAGCTCTACACAGAGTGAAACATGATACAGCTCTACACAGAATGAAACATGATAAAGCTCTACACAGAGTGAAACATGATAAAGCTCTACAGAGTGAAACATAACATGATAAAGCTCTACACAGAGTGAAACATGATAAAGCTCTACATAGTTAAACATAACATGATAAAGCTCTACACAGAGTGAAACATGATAAAGCTCTACAGAGTGAAGCATAACATGATAAAGCTCTACACAGAGTGAAACATGATAAAGCTCTACACAGAGTGAAACATGATAAAGCTCTACACAGAGTGAAACATAATAAAGCTCTACACAGAGTGAAAGATAACATGATAAAGCTCTACACAGAGTGAAACATGATAAAGCTCTACACAGAGTGAAACATAAAGCTCTACACAGAGTGAAACATAACACGATAAAGCTCTACACAGAGTGAAACATGATAAAGCTCTACAGAGTGAAACATAATAAATCTCTACACAGAGTGAAACAAGATAAAGCTCTACACAGAGTGAAACATAATAAAGCTCTACACAGAGTGAAACATATGATAAAGCTCTACACAGAGTGAAACATGATAAAGCTCTACAGAGTGAAACATAATAAAGCTCTACACAGAGTGAAACATGATAAAGCTCTACACAGAGTGAAACATGATAAAGCTCTACACAGAGTGAAACATAACATGATAAAGCTCTACACAGAGTGAAACATGATAAAGCTCTACACAGAGTGAAACATAGCATGGTAAAGCTCTACACAGAGTAAAACATGATAAAGCTCTACACAGAGTGAAACATAAAGCTCTACACAGAGTGAAACATAACATGATAAAGCTCTACACAGAGTGAAACATGATAAAGCTCTACACAGAGTGAAACATAGTAAAGCTCTACACAGAGTAAAACATAACATGATAAAGCTCTACACAGAGTGAAACATAATAAAGCTCTACACAGAGTGAAACATGATAAAGCTCTACACAGAGTGAAATATGGTAAAGCTCTACAGAGTGAAACATAACATGGTAAAGCTCTACACAGAGTGAAACATGATAAAGCCCTACACAGAGTGAAACATAATAAAGCTCTACACAGAGTGAAACATAATAAAGCTCTACACAGAGTGAAACATGATAAAGCCCTACACAGAGTGAAACATAATAAAGCTCTACACAGAGTGAAACATGATAAAGCTCTACAGAGTGAAACATAACATGGTAAAGCTCTACAGAGTGAAACATAACATGGTAAAGCTCTACAGAGTGAAACATAACATGGTAAAGCTCTACAGAGTGAAACATAACATGATAAAGCTCTACACAGAGTGAAACATGGTAAAGCTC